AATGCAGAAAGGAACTAGCTATTAAATTAGGGAGAACATCCTTCAAATTAAGGCACACCAAAGATACTTTTAAAGGCTTCCCCGGTAGCTAAGCTGGTAAAGAATCTGCCTGCCGTGTGGGAGACCTGGGTTGGATCCCTGGGTTGGGAAGATTCCCTGGAGGAGGGAATGGCAACCCACTCCAGTATTCTTGCCTGAAGAATCCCCATGGACAGAGGAGCCTGGTGGGCTACAGCCCCTGGGGTCACAAAGGGTCGGACACAACTGAGCAACTAAACACAGCACAAAGATACCTTTAAGCAAGAAAAATTTGAGAGAATCATTACCAGTAATCACACACACACACACACACAATTACAGGAAGTTCTTCAGCTAGAAGAAAAAAGGATTCATATTGCAGTTAGAAGAACAGAAATACATGATTTACCTTTCTTAGGGTTCACAGAACTTCTCCAGCCTGTGGACTGTTATTTTCTTTGGTTTTGAAAACATTCTTAGCTATTGTGTGTGCTCAGTTACCTCAGTCTTGTCTGACTCTTTGCAACCCCGTGGACTTTGTAGCCTGACAGGTTCCTCTGTCCATGGGATTCTTCAGGCAGGAATGCTGGAATAAATTGCCATTTCCTCCTTCAGGGGATCTTCCCAACCCAGGGATTGAAACTGCATCTCCTGTGTCTCCTGCCTTGAGGCAGATTCCTTATCCACTGAGTCACCATTATCTCATCAATTACTGTCTGCCTTTTTACATTTTCCCCTCCTCCTGGGATTCCAGTTGCACATATATTAGTCCTTTAAACTTTCAGGTAGCTTAAGACATTTTCTATATTTTCATCTTTTTTGCCATGCTTTATTCTGTATGTTTTCTAGTGACTTGGTTTTGAGTTCAAAATTCTCAATTCTGTGTACACCTAATTTACTATTAAACTCTTATCCTCTTTTTTAAATATGCTTTTTAATTGAAGGATAATTGCTTTACAGAATTTTGTTGTTTTCTGTCAAATCTCAACATGAATCAGCCATCAGTTCAGTTTAGTCGCTCAGTCGTGTCTGACTCTTTGCGACCCCATGAACGCCAGGCCTCCCTATCCATCACCAACTCCTGGAGTCCACCCAAACTCATGTCCATTGTGTCAGTGATGCCATCCAACCATCTCATCCTCTGTCATCCCTTTCTCCTCCTGCCTTCAATCTTTCCCAGCATCAGGGTCTTTTCAAATGAGTCATCTCTTCGCATCAGGTGGCCAAAGGATTGAAGCTTCAGCTTCAACAACAGTCCATCCAATGAACACCCAGGACTGATCTCCTTTAGGATGGACTGATTCAATCTCCTTGCAGTCCAAGGGACTCTCAAGAGTCTTCTTCAACACCACAGTTCAAAAGCAATTCTTTTGAACTGATCAATTCTTCAGGGCTCAGCTTTCTTTATAGTTCAACTCTCACATCCATACATGACCACTGGAAAAACCATAGCCTTGACTAGATGGACCTTTGTTGGCAAAGTAATGTCTCTGCTTTTTAATATGCTGTCTAGGTTGGTCATAACTTTGCTTCCAATGAGCAAAAGTCTTTTAATTTCATGGCTGCAATCACCATCTGCAGTGATGCTTCTCTCCCATCACCCTCCCCATCCCACTCCTCTAGATTGATATACAGCCCCTGTTTGAGTGTCCTGAGAGGTACAGAAAATTCCCATTGGCTATCTATTTTACACACAGTAATATAAGCTTCCATGTCATTCTCTCTGTACATCTCACCCTCTCCTCCTCTATCCCAATGTCCATAATTCTATTGTCTACGTCTGTTTGTCCACAGCTGCCCTGCAAATAAATTCTTCAGTAACATTTTTCTAAATTCTGTATATATGCATTAGTATACGATATTTATCTTTTTCTTTGTAATTTGCTTCACTCTGTATAATAGGCTCTAGGTTCATCCACCTCAATAGAATTGACTCAAATGCATTTCTTTTTATGGCTGAGTAATATTTCAATGTGTATATGTACCACAACTTTCTTATCCATTCATCTGTCAATGGACATCTAGGTTGCATCCATGTCCTAGCTACTGTAAATAGTCCTGCAATGAACAATGGGATACATGTGTCTTTTTCAATGTTAGTTTCCTCGGGGTATATGGCTAAAAGTGGGATTGCTGGATCATATGGTACTTTTACTCCTAGTTTTTTAAGGAATCTCCATACCATCTACCATAGTGGCTGTATCAATTTACATCCCCACCAACAGTGCAAGTTCAGTTCAGTTCAGTCACTAAGTTGTGTCTTACTCTTTGTGACCCCATGGACTGCAGCACGCCAGGCTTCCCTGTCCATCACTAACTCCCAGAGCTTGCTCAAACTCATGTCCATTGAGTCAGTGATGCCATTCAACCATCTCATCCTCTGTCATTCCCTTCTCCTGCCTTCAGTATTTCCCAGAATCAGGGTCTTTTCCAATGAGTCAGTTCTTCCCATTAGGTGGCCAAAGGATTGGAGTTTCAGCTTCAGCATCAGTCCTTCCAATGAATATTCAGGGCTGATCTCCTTTAGGATGGACTGGTTGGATCTCCTTGCAGTCCAAGGGACTCTCAAGAGTCTTCTCCAGCACCACAGTTCAGGTGGCTCAGATGGTAAAGCGTCTGCCTGCAATGCGGGAGACCCGGGTTTGATGCCTGGGTTGGGAAGATCCCCTAGAGAAGGAAATGGCAACCCACTCCAGTATTTTTGCCTGGAAAATTCCGTGGATTGAGGAGCTTGCTGGGCTACAGTCCATGGGGTCACAAAGAGTCGGACATGACTGAACAACCTTGCTTTCACTTTTTTCACTTTCTTGGGTGCTCAGCTTTCTTTATGTTCCAACTCTCACATCCATACATGGGGCTTCCCTGGTGGCTCAGAGGGTAAAGCCTCTGCCTGCAATGCAGGAGACCTGGGTTCGATCCTGGGGTCAGGAAGATCCCCTGGAGAAGGAAATGGCAACCCACTCCAGTACTCTTGCCTGGAAAATCCCATGGACAGAGAAACCTGGTAGACTATATAGTCCATAGGATCACAGAGTCAGCTTTCTTTATGTTCCAACTCTCACATCCATACATGACTGCTGGAAAAACCATAGCCTTGACTAGATGAACCTTTGTTGTCAAAGTAATGTCTCTGGTTTTTAATATGCTGTCTAGGTTGGTCATAACTTTCCTTCTAAGGAGTGTTTTAATTTTATAGCTGCAGTCACCATCTGCAGTGATTTTGGAACCCCCAAAAATAAAGTCTGCCACTGTTTCCACTGTTTCCTCATCTATTTGCCATGAAGTGATGAGACCGGATGCCATGATCTGTCTTGTCACTGGCTTGTAATCTTGCATTGAATACATTAACCAATTATTTTAATGTTTTAAAATGATAACTCTGGATATCTATGTCTCTTATGGATCTGTTTTTATGATGGTCTTTTCCTCTTGGTTTTTGGTCAGTTATTCTTGTGGTATGCTTGATCAATTTTTGATTTAATGACATAATTTGTATAAAATATAGCCTATGTATATTGAAGCTGTTTTTGACATTATCTTTTTTCATAGAGAATTAAATTTTGCTTTCAGGAAAGCTATTAGAGTAGGGGTAGGTGATATAGGATTCAAAACTGGATTTCACTCTTTTGTGATGGCTAGTCTATTTCTAGTTGGATTTTATTTTTACAGTGTAGACCTTTAGGCTCCAAACTGGAAGGTAGGATATGCTTGATTGGTCTTAAGCTGTAGTTTTTGTTTTGTTTTTTTTGGTCCCTCAAGATTGCCAGACTCTCTGCTCATCTTGCTAATCTCTTACCCATGACATTCTGCTTGTCCTCTTAGCTTCTCTAACACAATGTGCTAAAAAACGCTCAAGGAGTTAGGTATTTTAAGTTGATAGTTCTAATAGGGGCTCTTTCCAGTTTTTTTTCCTTTGTTTCAGGGTCCTAACTGTTGAAGCCTTGGCTTCCTTGGTTTCTCTTCAGTGGTATCAAGCAGACTTTTTTTCCGAGCTTTTGTGTTTTTTCACCAGCCATTTATGGTGGATGTATTGATCGGTAATGAGTTATACCAACACCACAAGTTAAACAACTCTGAAGCAGTTTTTATTTTTCAGCTTCTAATATCTTTGTTTTCCTAGAACTGGACACAAGTAACTCATCAAAGAAGGCCATTCCTCAATATCTTAAACTTTGTTATTTCAGATTCTTTTGTTTTAACAAGCTTTACATTATTTGTAAGTATGAAAATGCATTTTGAAAAGGGAAACAAAGTTAAAAAGATTTTGCCAACATGTTTATTCAATATTAATAGAACTACATAAAATTAAATACTGTGTGTAACATAGGAGTTTTAATATTACAGAATTATAAACCTCTATAAGGTATGTCATGTAACAATCTACTCTGCTTTTCTATCTTAAGCAACATGAAGTAGTGTAAATGATAGATCACACCAATAACATTTCACTGTGTATTGAAATCAGCTTAAGAAACAATCCTTTTATTGGATATAGGTAAAAAAAGAAAGAAACAGCACTTCAATCCCTACCCTGAAAATAATCAGGGTAATTAACTAATCAAATTTCAGAACATCAGCTATAGGTCACTGGCAACTTTTTCCTAAGCAATATTATGGAAAGTTTTGGTTTTGGTCAAAAGAAGATACAGGTTTGTTATTCAACTTCATTTTAATGTGTTTCAATATTCTATGACAGATTTTGGTTAAGATAGTTCCATTAAAAGTACTGATTTAAAAATCTAACAACTTAAAACTACTACATCAAAAAAAAAAGATCCATGAAATGTTCCTTTCTTTCTGAAGATTTTACAATACACTTATATTAACCAGATTTTACTATTAAACTTAAATAGCCAAATAAGACAAAGAGTTCTGAGCTATTCTTCCACAGCCAGTTAAGACAGTGCAGAGTTCTGTCCATTTAACCATCTGAGATTTCTGAGCAGATCTGTTGACCTTGCCAGCTCCTGCAGGCTTCTTACCTGCTGTTGTGATGACAACCATAGTAACTGTTTGCCTCACATCATGAACAGCAAAATGTCCCAGAGGAGGGTACTCAGAGAAACTCTCAATGCACATAGTTTTGTCATGAATCCCCTTAAAGATGGCAGCAGGAGTAGATTTCAAAAATTTGGGCCATCTTCCAGTTATTTATCAGAAAAGCAATCAATCTTCTTGTGCTTGGTAACCTTACAAGCAAGGTAAGCAGTGTGGCAATCCAGCTTGAGTATAGAGTCAGCACTGATTTGGCCTGGATGGTTCAGGATAATACCTGGGCAATGAAGACAGCTGCTTCCATTAGCAAGTCATTTTTGCTGTCACCAGCCACATTGTCACAATAAATATCTTTGACAAACATGTTCGTGACACTGAAGACCATGTTTTCCCCAGGCAAAGCATCACTCAAAGTTTCAAGCTGCATTTCAACACACTTTACTTCAGTTGTTATGTTGACTTGGGCAAAGGTGGTCACTATACCCAGTCTAGTCTTGACTTGGCTCACAGGGGTTTAACCAGTAAGCCCAGTTTTGTAGAGAACCTGGAGAGACAGACAAAAAGACTTGCCAGTTGCATGAGTTGTTGACAGGATGCAATACAGAACTTCAAGCAATGTAGTTCCACTGGTGTTGTCATCCTTATGGTGACTGTGGATTAAGAAATCCTAGATGTGCGTAGAGTTACTGTAAGAAGCTGAGATGTGGACTGGTCCACATATCATAATTTATAGACTGAATAAAAATAATCCACCCATTTTCATCTTAATTTTGTTCCAATTGTAGCTTATATCCTGCACATTTATTCTCAATTATTATTTTCTCAGTCAACAAACACAATACTTATGACTTTTTATGAGGTGATCTGTGATGTTTTTATATCTTTGAAAAGTTTCTTATAATTGGAAAGTTTGGGCAATCATCACTATATTAAAAGTGTTGTTTTTCCTCACTGAGTCTAGGTTTTCTTCTGTATGAATAGAAATTTTACCCTTCTACCACGTAGAATGTAGTGAATGTTGAGGGAATTCAATAAATGTTAACTTCCCTAATAGTCCTTCCACACATAAGCCAGAAAATGTGGTTTGGCTCTACAACATAAGCTATCAAGTTAAAATCAAATCTATCAATTCTCAATTCTGACTTAAAAAAATCAGTAGGAAGAGGGCTAGTCAAAAAGTTAAACTGCTGGTAGAAATTACTGTTGAAGAAGTGCAGAAGAATGACAGACTTATAGTTCAGGAATATAACAGAATTATAATGCTAAGCTTAAATTTTAAGTGAAAGTGAAAGTCGCTCAGTCATGTCTGACTCTTTGCAACTCCATGGACTATACAGGAATTCCCCAGGACATTACTGGAATTCCCCAGGACAGAATACTGGAGTGGGCAGCCTTTCCCTTCTCCAGGGGATCTTCCCAACCTGAGAATCAAACCCAGGTCTCCCACATTGTGGGAAGATTCTCTACCAGCTGAGCCACAAGGGAAGTCGAGGAATATTGGATTGGGTAGCCTATCCCTTCTCCAGAGGCTCTTCCTGACCCAGGAATTGAACTGGGGTTTCCTGCATTGCAGGTGGATTCTTTACCAACTGAGCTATCAGGGAAGCCCAAGCTTAAACTTTAAAGAGGTCATTTAAAACAAGCTAGTTTATGGCTATTTCTACTAAAAATACAATCAGCCATAAAAGTGAGAGCCTGAATGAGACTCTAAGCTTCATGCACATTCTTTAATTCTTACAACAAACTTTTATGCTGTAAATTGAATGCTAGTACTATTCTCATTTTATAGAGGAAAAATGTTACAAAATTTGTGTAAGGTTATAGACCAAGTATGTGGTGAGGCAGGCTTTAACTACACTAAGGAAACCCTGTCCAAATCTGCTGTAAGACATCACCCCTGAATTGCTTCAGATGCATTCTAGACAATAGCATGATCTGGAATTTGAGGTGGGAGGAGGCAAGGTCCTGACTGCTTTCCTCCCTTCCCCCAAGAAACCATGCACATCTTCTCCTCCTTGTTTCTTGAGTTTGAGCTTTAAGCATTTCCTCTCTTCTCTTTCATACTGAACAGTTTCCTGTAAATTTTTCCCAGCCCCATTGTTCCGTGAATGTTTTCATTTGTAGAGACATCAATTTAAGGGCATCCAGACAGTTCTGGCTTTTCTGTTTTTCTCAAATCACCCGATTCTATCCTTCCTGTGAAATGTTTATTTGAAAATAGCAGAGGAAACTTCCCAGATGTGCAGAGAGAACTAAGACTACTAAGGGACATTTCCCAGCATAATTCCCTGAAGTAAAAATTGACCTATGATGGAGCCCTGTAATTAAGTGGCAATTACATTGTTAATTCCTCTGAGGAATGCCAGTGGCATAGCCTAAGTTGGTGAAAAATAAGTTAGCAGGGTCAAGACTGGTGCAGCCTAGACTCATCTCTTTTCTTTGACTTTCAGCTTAGCTGGTTGTCATGGTTGAATAGGTGGACTCAGGTCTGAAAGAGTACTTGGTCTTACATTTTTCCTAATTAACTGTCTTGAAAGCTCATTCCTTTCCTGAGAACATAACTGCTTCTTGGAGCCAAATTCTGCCACTTTTGTGAACATTGATTAACCATACTCACTCAGTAATCATGTGTGCATGTGTGCATGTAACTGAGCAGAACCTACAAGGCCTTCCCAGAATAGACCTCCACCCATGTCCTCCACCCTCCTTTCATCCATAGAAAAACCTGAGTCAAAGAATAAATTTAATCAGAGAATTGAAACGATATAGAAAAGAAGACAGTCAAGTAAGATAAAAATAATAATACTTTAGCCATTAAACAAAGTCAAGGACCTTTAAAAATTCTTCTTCAAAGACTTAAGATAATATTCTGACCATGTCCTTTGAGCTGTTTTGCAGGTACTGAGACCCCCATCAGGAGGAAGAAGTTAACTCTATGCTGCCCACAAGCACATAGAGCCCAGACTACGTGGAACCAGAAGGCTGATGATACTGACTCTCATCCACCTCACTGCCAACCAATCAGAAGAATTTAGAGAAGCTGATCCTGCCCTGCTCTTTGAACACTATAAGACTCCTCACTAACCCCTCCAGGGGGAGTCACACATTCTTTTATTTTTTGGCCCTGTTGCATGGTATGTGGGATTTTAGTTCTCCAACCAGGGATTGAACCTGTGCCCCCTGCATTGGAAATGCTGAGTCTTAACCTGGTGGACCACCAGGGAAGTCCCATCACACAGTCTTGATGGCATTAGCCTACTGCGGCCCCCTTTGCCTGCAAGGCAATAAAAACTACTATTTTCTACCTCACTCCAAATCTTTTCAGCACCCAATTTCTCCAGCAATTTCTATTCAGCAACTCCACCCAATTTCTGCTCAGCACAGGTAAACAGAGGCCGAATTTCAGCAACATATACAACACTTTACTGAATAAACCTATGACTGAGGATAAACATGTAATTGCATAGGCAGAGGATTTCAGGAATCAATGGACTCTGAAACCGTATCTGCCAATGCAGAGAAGCCTTCGGGAGCGTGGACCATCCGGAGTAATCTTTGTTGATTAAGAGCTGCTCATCTCTCAGTTTCACCCTGTGTTGGTGTCCCTTGACACTAACATTCTATCACTATTGTTCAAGTAGTCAATTCTTTTGTTACTGTTTGGGAAATGGTATAGATGGACCACATGAGTCACTTCTAGAGCAGCTCTTACTGGTGTATAAATGGTTCATTACCACTGTGATATACTTAAGAAAAATTCTTCCTCTCATTGTATTGGTCTTCCCCCCCAACCCCACCTCTTTTTTTCTTTCAAAGTAGAAGTGAGAGAGAGAGAGAGAGATTCACAGATTTCATCTGTGATGATGTTCTTTCTTTCATTTCTGTAAGTAAGTGTAGGAGAAGTGTGGCTCGAACTCTAACCCAATGGCCTTCACACTTTAAAAGTATGGTCCATTTATTCAGGGCCCTGGGGTTCTTTTATAAACTTCAATGTGCAAACACCAGGATGTAGGAAAGAAGAGGCTTGAGAAAAGACTAGAGGATACTAAATATAATGACAAAATACAAAGGCCTACAAGTGAAGTGGAGCAGACAACTGTGCAGGCATCAGATGTGAAAGAGATGTGATGGATCCAGTGAGTCTTGCTGTGTGTGAAGGAGAGAAATTGGGTTTTGAAGTCATGAGCTAAACTTCGCCTACATCAGCCAGTTAAGTAGTGTGGCAGTAAGCTGAGTGCCTGGGCTTCCCTTGTGGCTCAGTTGGTAATAAATCCTCCTGCAATGTGGGAGACCTGGGTTTGATCCCTGGGTTGGGAAGATCCCCTGGAGAAAGAAAAGGCTACCCATTCCAGTATTCTGGCCTGGAGAATTCCATGGACTGTTTAGTTCATGGGGTTGCAAAGAGTTGGACAGGACTGAATGACTTTCACTTTTAAGATGAATGCCTGATAAGGCCGGGGGTGGAACTCTGTGATGGAAGACCCTATTCTCCATCCTGAATGAATGCCCTCCACCCCCATAGGGGAGAGAGAGTACAGATTCCTCATTTCACCTGATGTGCTCATACCTGTAGAGATCACAGACATAAATGTGTTTTCTTCTTATTATTTTTTTCAGACACAACCAGTTGGACAAAAAAGATATGCAATTTATATGTAACTTTCACCACTCTGTTTTTTTTAATTCAACAAATGATCTGAGAAGTGGAAAGGATCCCTTATTTCCTTGTGGGATTATTCAGTTACGGAGGATATAAAGCAATCCAGCTGTGCAGAAAAGGATGTAATCTATTCATATGACTCTGAGTACTTGGAAAAGAAAAACGCCATGATAACAAGAACGTGTTTGCCATATTCTGGTCCCATACATAGTATGTGATACTAGGTTATTTACAGTTGTTTTCTAGGTATTGATACTTATAGTAGAGCCCATTGGATTTGTGGTCAGGCTTTAACAATCTTGCAGTCTTAGAAGGATGCTTACTACTTCCTATAAATCAAGAGTATCAGTATGTTCCTATTTCTTAGAGACAGGAAGTTTCATTTTAGATTCAGCTGCAAAATGCATAGATAATGCAGGGTTCTCTGGGAGAATGTAAAGAAGTATTTAAGTGGCATACTTTATAGAGTAAAAAAAAAATGTTGTGTTAATTTGCATCCCAGGAAGGTCAAAAGGTAATTAAGATGGCATCTCAGCTTCTTTTAAGACACATAATTCATTTAGTGCTTCTAATGATCAGAAAAAGTATTCTAATAGTGACAATGGAGAATTAAATTCTCTCTTTAAACTTGAAACCAAGGACATGGAAACATATCTCAGTTTTTCTTAAAATGTGACCTAAATAGAATCACTTGGAACTCTTGT